TAATACAACTCCCCAAACCTTTCTTAATTCTGGGCGACTTCAACAGCAGAAACATCTTATGGGGATCATCACACACTGACAGCTGTGGGAAAACGATAGAAAAATTATTAGAAAATCAATCACTAATACTTCTAAACAACGGCGACCCAACAAGACACAACTCCACAAACAGTTCTTTATCAGCCATAGATTTAACAATATCCAACACCATTATCCCCCTGAATTATACTGGAAAGTACTAACTGAATATAACGGAAGCGACCATTAACAAATACACCTCAACATTTTCAACCAATCTACACCAGATGAACCAATTAAGCGATGGAAACTTATCAAAGCCAACTGGAATCTCTTCACTGAGTTTGTTGATCACCACCTAGAAAATCAAGACTGGACCAAAAAGAATTCCGATGAATTAGAAATAGACCAAAACAAAATTGATTCCATAGTGACCTCCCTCACCGAAATTATTGTAAACGCGGCAAATATGTCCATAGGAAAGTCTTCCCGTTCTAAAGTCACTAAGACAGCACCGTAGTGGAACCCCGAATGCAAAGAAGCTATTAAAAATTGCAAAAAAAAATTAAACCGTTTTAAAAAAACAAAATCTTTGTCAGATCACATAGCACTTAAAAAAGCTTGGGCAGAATCAAGGTTTATTACCAAAAATAGCAAATGCGTTGCCTGGAAAGCATTCGTCTCCACAATCAACCAACAAACATCAGCTACTACTATGTGGAACAAAATCAAAACATTTAAAGGAAACAAGTTCAACTCGATACCCAATATCATGAAATACAAAGATGAATACATAAAAACTAACCTGGACATCGCACAAGCCTTCGCTGACCTATTCCAGACAAACAACAGTAACCAAAACCATACGGAATCCTTCATAAAACACAAAAATGAAGTCGAGAACTCATTTGTCACAGACAGCCTACCACAGCACAGTGAAGACTCATACAACTCCGCCATCAGTATGGACGAATTTAACCAGGCACTCCTGAAGTGTAAAAGCAAAAGCCCAGGCCCTGACGACATCCCTTACATATTTCTACATCACCTGTCCTCCTTCGCTCAACAAAAACTTCTTCTAGTCTACAACTTAATATGGGAATACGGATTCTTCCCCAACCAATGGCGCAAAGCAATTATTATCCCAATACCCAAACCAGATAAAAACAAATTTCACGTAGAAAATTACCGTCCCATCTCTCTAATAAGCACAGTGTGCTTAGCACACTATGTAAAGTACTCGAAAAAATAATTAACTCAAGACACATATGGCACTTGAAGTCTCCAAAAAATTCAATAAAGAGCAATGTGGATTCCGGAAAAATCACTCCACACTCAATACCTTATCCAATATTCACTCCCACATATGTAATGCAGCCAAAGTAAACCAATATATAATCCTCGTAGCTCTCGACTTAACAAAAGCATATGATATGGTTTGGAGACAAAGAGTAATCCTTATCCTACGTGAATGGAACATCTCAGGAAACATGATTACATTCATTAATAATTTCTTACAGGACAGATCATTCCAAACAAAAATTGGTGAAACACTATCAACCACGCATACTACCGAAAATGGAGTACCCCAAGGCTCAGTCATCAGTGTCACCCTGTTCTTAATTGCGATAAATAATATTTTTGACAATCTCCTTCCCCCCATAAAGTATACCATCTTTGCGGATGATTGTAACATTTTTTGTAGTGGCGTGAAAATAAAAACAACAGTGGAACTCATTCAGCAAGCCCTGGATGAACTCCTCAAGTGGTCAACCACAACTGGTTTCAATTTCTCACCATCCAAAACCCAATGTATCATCTTCTATAAAAAGCGTAACCAAAACTTATTGCACATCAATCTAAATAACACCATTCTATCTTATACAGATAAAATAAAAATACTAGGAATGACTTTCGACCACAAATTAAATTAGAACCCACACCTTAAAAACCTCAAAATAAATGCAAACAATAGCATGAAAATTATGAAAACCTTATCTCACCACTCCTGGGGCTCTGATAAAAATAGCCTCATTACTATATATAAAGCAATCATACTAGCAAAAATGGAATACGGTGCAGTCATTTAGTTAAATGTTATAATACAACTAAAAACAAAATTCTTAATATACTAAATCCTATACACAATCAAAGCATTAGACTAGCCACAGGTGCCTTCCGCACAAGCCCAACAACAAGTATTATGTGCAACGCTGGAGAACTACCACTCGAATTTAGAAGGATTAAAGAAACACTAAAATTTGTAACTAAATTCTCAAATAGCAAAACTCAAATTCCAATCAGAACACCTCTGAATATACGTAACAGTCCAAACACACCTCGCACTATCGATGACACGTATAAGAACATAGCAGATACAACGAAGTTCAAACCAATTACGTTTAACAAAATTATCTTCCCGTCTTCCCCTCCGTGGATGTGGAATATTAAGCTCAATACCCAACTACTCGAATTCAACAAAAAAATCTCTTAAACCTCAACTATAAGAAACAACTTTTCAGAAATAATTGAAGAAAAATACCCTCACCACATAAAAATCTTCACGGACGCCTCAAAATCCCCCAATGGAACCGGATTCGCATTCATAGAAAATAACAAAACTTCAATGTTCAAACCTCCTCATGAAACCAGCATTTTCTCCGCTGAAAGTCAAGCCATCCAAAATGCAATCTCACATGCGATGACCTAAGTGTCCGAAGAAATACTTATAATTAGTGACTCCCTTTGTGCTCTCCTAGCCCTCGAAAATCCCTATCCCAAAAATGAAATAATTCAATCCATCCAAGAAAAGCTGTCAAACTCAAGGAAAAAAATCGAATTTCTATGGGTCCCCTCTCACACTGGCATTAGTGGCAACGAACTAGCTGACAAGGCAGCCAACGAAGCAATAATATCATACAGCTCGGTATTAATAAACAAAATAATATTTCAAGACGCACTCATAAAAATAAATAAGCTAACAAAAAGTCTCTGGCAAGACTCGTGGGAGAAGACTTCAAACACAAATAAACTAAAAGAAATTAAAACATCAACCGACCCATGGAAAACTCCTTCACCCTCATCCAGGCACAAAGAAGTTGTTACCACAAGAACTCAGATTGGACACTCCCGTCTAACACACTTACATCTCATCACAAAAGAAGACAGCCCGACCTGCGAACTCTATGACAAAGAACTGACAATCAAACACGTCACACTCGAATGCCCCAAGTTCATCTGCTCCAGACAAATTCTCGGAAACCCACTAACTATGCAACAGGCACTTGGAGAAGAGAACACCAAAAACATATACCTTTTTTTCAAAAACATAGGCTTAGCAAAACTAATTTAGGAAAATTACTATTAATTAAATTGTTAAATGTACATATATCCTACAAACTACCTTTATTGTTAAATAATGTATCTCTACAGTTGTAAGACTAATATTTAATATCAATACTATTTTGTAATTTTTACAGGCTAATAACCTCAGGAGTTGAAGCCTTACTTGAATAAAAAAAAAAAAATAAAAAATAAAATAATATTTATTATAGATTATAATAATATAATCAATAATCATACTATAGAATAATTAAGATGAATTGTATATTTGTGATCGTTATAAATAACCTATGGATTCATCTTGCCAAGTAACTGATCCAACTCCAGAAACAAAATAGTCAGCAAATGTTGTCCTGATTGAATTTGCAGAACTGCCTCCTCTGGTTGATTGTGCGTTTAATATATTAGGAAAACAGTTTATTTCTGGTTCTATTTGGGTGCTTTGAAAATCATATCCATATTTTTGTCTGACAAAATTATGTAACACTGTGCATGCTTTTACTGCCCAGATAGCTGTTCCTACGTTTACGTCCAAAGGCCTATGAAATATTTGCCATTTGTTTGTTAGGATGCCAATAGCGCATTCTACATATCTTCTAGCTCTAGTTAATCGATAATTAAATACAAGTTTAACCTTATCTAAATGTGTCCTTTCGTAAGGCCTTAATAAATTGTCATTTAATGCAAAATCTTCATCTCCAATAATCACGAAAGGAACATTTTTGTGTTTGAATGTTCACTTAAAGGTCTTGGTATCGGTAAGTTCAATGCATTTTCTGTCAACTTTTTCCAAAATGTCGTTCCCTTAAAAATTGAAGAATCAGTCTTTTCCATATAACCCGACACTCACATATATAAACCGGTATTCCGAATCTACAATGGCTAATAAAATAATTGAAAAATAGTCTTTGTAGTTGAAATACATTGATCCACTATTTGAAGGCTTTTTTATACTCTTATATGTTTTCCAGCAACAGCACCAATAGAGTGTGGAAAATTATCTCTTGATTGAAAACCATTTGATATTTGTTCCTAGGCCGTAGATGTAATTGGTAATTGCATATATACGTTGTGTAGATTGACCCAGATGTTTGTTTTTACTTCTTTTATAATGTAGCTTATTGTTGAAATACCGATTCGATAGGAATAATGAAGATCTTTAAATGAATACCCAGACGCTAAATACCTAAGAGAAAATTTTAAAAATAAATAAGTATATTAACATACAAATTTAATTATAATTTAAATAATTTAAACCAGGTAAAATCGTTTTGAAAAAATGGACCCAAACAAGAGATTCATGGATGAAATCTATCAAAAAACAAAAATATGAAAAAAGATCTGGTTCTTCTGCCAAGCCATCAAGACTTTATTTGTACCATTATCAAATGTGTTTTTTAAAAAAAATAATGGACTCAACAACTGCCCAAGAAAGTGCTGGATTGTCCGAGGATGATTCGAGTGAGCAAAATAAAGGATCAGATCAAATTGATGAGAGGGAAAAAAATCTTTTTAATGGATCACCAACTAAGCAACCACTTATTTCTGGTACACAAAAGAAGCGCAAGTCAGATCCTACGCATGAACTAGATGCAAAAATGTTAAAATATATTGATCACCAATACAGACACCAAGGAAAGAAGGAAACCGTCATTTGTCATTTTTCAAAGGTCTTCTGCCTAGCATGTCGCCACTTAATGAGGATCAAATTTTAGAATTTCAAGCGGGTGTCATATCGTTGTTACAAAATATAAAAAAAAAACCTCACAGTTTGCATATCATGATAATCAACAAAATTTACTACAACTCCTTTACATAATTATACGTGGCCAAATTATGAATATTACTCCCAACTGCCTCAACAATCTAACAATCTCAACCACATTTTCAGAGTATAATCGTTGACCAACCAACAGCTAGCCCAGAAAGTGAGATTTCAGCACCAGTTTCAGTAATGTCAACCACAAGTCAAGAGTCCGAAAAATACGATTTTGCTGATATAATTTAGAGCTTAGTATGTTAAATAATTGTTAAAATTAAAACTGTTGATTGTTTTTGTATTATTATCAATTACTTAAATTTCTATTATATTTTGTTAAAAATTATTATTTTCATTAAAATATGAATAAGTACAAAAATAAAACTATATTACTTACCCTAAACAGATAGCTAATTTTTCTTCTGGACTAATGCTAGCTCTCATATTTGTGTCTTGCCTTGTCAAACTAATTTCCATTCTTCTCAATAGGTCATCAAAAGTAGGTATCGACATTCGAAAATAATTAAAAAATTTTGTTTCGTCCTGTCGTAATTGACACATAAAATTAAACACATTAAATGAGCCTAAAATATTTCTTTGTCTGACAATAGGATGTATCCAGAATCTCCGATTTGAAATCCGTTGCTGTTGACGATACTCGCAATACCAGTATATTGCTATAAATGTATTCAAGTCCATCTTCATGCGTCTTAATGCGCCTACGATATGAACGATATTCATGTATTTGTATCATACAATGCTATATCATCTAGGACAGTATGACCAAACTATGTGATATTATTATATAGATTTTAAAGTTGAATGGTATTGGATTCTGAGCGGAGTGATGAATGTATTGATTTTACAATGATGCGTGTTTTTATATTTATTAATTTAAATTTTTTTTCTTGTGTCTGTCATCCTGGTTTCTTGCAGTAAAAATGCTTCGATTTTCTTCAGTAGCAATTTTTCCGCAGGTAGGAAAGCGAATCTAGTTAATGCATTTAGGATGTCAAAATTTAAAATTCCAAATATTTTTCAAAAGCCACAGGAAAAACGAGGAATTTTTTACACAAAACCAGTTTTTGAAATATTAGTTTTTAGTGTAACTCTAATAAAAATAACCGTGGAAACATGAAATGTTCACTGAATATTTTTGTGTAAACATTTTCTATACACTATAAAATTTTCAAAATGTTTTGATTTGTGTTGAACTATTATAGGCATATGCAATTTTCGATTATTTTTTTTTTCTTAAAACTAGTCTATAAAAAAATTTTCTTAAAATACTTGTAAATGTATAACTAGGTTCCTTGTAAGTTTTTGTTAGTGGAAATTAAAAAAAAAGTATATTAAATTCACAATAATTTTTTATGAGATTTTAACTTAGACTTTTGACAAAATACGTAAAAGTCACGAAAATTATAAATTCATAAAAATTGTTCTATTTATATCTAAGACTTAAAAATGTAATGCAAGATTCCTTACAAGCTTGTCTTTCTTTATCAAAAAAAAAAAAAATTTCTACCAGAAAGTCCAACTAAATATTTATGAGCATTTAAAGTTCAAATTTTAACAATATTTATTAAATTGGAAAGTTCCGCTGAAGCAGTTTTTTCCGTAATTAAGAAATCTAATAAATACATGAATATAGTTATTTTTTAGAGACATTTGGACAAAATCGCATATTAAGTATTAACACAATGAATAACGTTTATCATTTTGTTATAATTCGGTTCCAAAACTGCAAAATTTTACACAAGTAGGCATATTTAATATTTTTCCAGCATCACTTATAATTTAAGACTAATATTAGGTAATTTAACTTACCGGCTACCATATTGATAATAATTACCTAATAACAAATAACAATAAAAAATATCCTAACTGACATACCGTCTCCGCTCTGATTCGTTTCTCGTTTACAATGATAATATGATATATTGATATCATTGAATTCAAATTTAATACCATCCATCATAGCGACCTCCTAGACACATAATGTACAGCAAAGCAACATCCACTTACCCGCTTTTTTTTACATAGGTTTATTAACTAATATGTTAATACTTATAAGTTATTATAATATATTGTTAACTAATCAGTATTTTATAATAAATAGTTTTAAAAGATTGATTAATTTATTCAACTATTTGTTCAATTTGTTGTATTTTCTTTAACATGTAATAGATAAGACCTAGATAATAGCTACCATATTGTTATGTGATTCCATGTTAAAATCATTGCCTTCAAATGTTCACATTATGGAAAATATGTATGAATAAATTAACAATAGTTAACCAAATAAATAATAATATTTAAATAGCCACTATTTATTTATGAATGTATCAAAAGAAAAAAAATGTACAAGCATTGCCTATTTGAATTCATGTAACTTATTTTAGCTCCCTCCACTTTCACCAATGGCCCTATACCAAATAGTTAGTATACCTATAAGTTATAACTTATAACTTATAACTATGTAGTTTTGTTATACTCTAGTATTTCTATAATATCCATGTTTTGGTAGTAAATAACCATTAGGTATTTATTATTTAATAATATTGTTCAATTATATATATAACTTGTTCACAATCACCAAAAATTTTCATTATTCTTAATTTTAATTTGGTTGGTTCGTCAAAGCATTCCGGCCAAATATAGGAAATTTAGTAATTAAGTATTCGTTACCATGGAATATAACATATAATATCTATTATTATTGTGTTATACATTTATTGTGTTCACATCCATACAAGTCATTACTTTTTTTGGTATTCGTTATATACCTTTTGACTTTTAAGTTGAATAAATACGATCTCTATTAAAAATGTTTAAGGTTTTCGATACTCGGAAAAATATCTCCAGGACATAAAGATTAAAGGACAAGAGATTATTGAAGAAAGAACTTCACATGAAAATTCAGCACGTATTTTCATATTACCTACCTAGGTATACCTATACGTATATATAAATATAATATATATACAACACGCTAAATATAATATACAGCGAAACATCTTCTAATGGACCAAGTAGTTGAAGATAGTACACTTTCAAAGATCGGTACTCATACAGTCATACACTCTCAGCGACTAACACAGTTACACGGCAGCTAGGTAGCTATTAAAATTATATAAAAGTAAATATTAAAATATTAATATTGATTAAAACAGAAATAAATTAACAATGCCATAAATCTTTATATTGCGCCTTGATAATTACGATATTTTATTGGTTCCTATACTAAAATGTATTTGTTTAACAACTAATGCCACTATTACTATATTGGTAAGCCTTTTTAATTTGAGCCACATCTAATAAAATTCATTTTGAAATAATGCAGTTAGTGTATTACAAACATAACTATTATTCTTACAAAGTCAACTATTTAAAGTTTAATATTTAACATTTAATTTGTTTTAATTTTGTGGAATTTCACTCATTGACCATTGTAATATTTTAGATTCTGATCGAAAGCCGGAGGCGCTATTGGTTTTACAATGATGTTATTTTTTTTACAATATTTTTTACTGATATAGATTCTATAAGGTTCAATTTTAAGTTCAGATGCTTCATCAGCCTGCATTAATGGAGGGAGAAAACTTTACAATACAATTTATCCAAATAATATTATCAAATTTTAAATGATTGAATATACCAACTACCTACTTAAATAATTCTCTAAAAATAATCTGGCATATGTACCTGTTTATTATTCCTCTGTTTAAAATACTCAATGCAACTGAAGGCTGGTGATAAATATCTAACTATAACTTGTTTATTTACTTGACACTTATTCGACGTCTTGTGTTCTTAAAAATAATTTAATGTACAATAACTCTTCATTTCATTTCTTTTCAAATTTTATTGTATATTATATTATGAGTTAAGATATTATATTTAATTATAACGTAATTAGTAATGTACTCGTAAATAAGGATTATGTCCGATGTATAAATAAATAAATAATAATATCACAGTTTACAAGTGTCCCATATGAACTTATTAAATATCAGCTGCTGTATAGTATATTGGATACATAAATATATTTTAATTTATTTAATTTTATACGACGTTTTTTAGGTATATGAACCGGAGCTGACTTTTCTACTATGCGAACGGGTTTATTGTTTGTAGTTCATGACTCGGCCAACGAAATCTTTAATTCGGATCAACCTATATAATTATATAAAATTACAATCGAGGTCTGGCTATTAAATAACGAGACTGCTTATGAAAAATTGTTTTATTTTAAAAATTATTCCACAACCGAATATTTCCCCTCAATATACTCTCCTCCCCTCTCGTAATTAAATGTGCCTGATAGCTAGGTATGATAAGTGTTATAGTTATATCAACAGTTAAGACAGAAAACAAATTTATTTCCAGCGCGTTTATATTTTTTGAATAGAAGAGTTTCGTATTTGGAAATCATTTATTCTCTTTTACGTTTCACCTATATGATAATATCAAATTACAATAATTGAAAATGTATCATAATTCATAGTTGTTTTATATGCACTTGTGTGAGGCAATATTTTTGTGCTTCGACTTAATCACTAATTTTCCCTGCGGATAGACCTGTAAGCTCCTCCATGTGGCGTGGCACATCCTTGCTATCTCTATCTGGACGAGTTATAGATAATAATTGTTAATTATTATTGCTTCATTGATCAGGCTGAGAGGCTGACGTGTTATTGTGTTAAAGTTAAATAAATGAGTTATAATTAGCATTAACTTCAGAGTTATTTTATTATAATTATTGAAGAAGTCAAAAAGCCCAGACAAGTGCATCCTTTGTGAGGGTGATCATATCTCCAGCTACAATAAGAATGTCCAAAATATCAAACATTTCTTAAACGGCCCACAACAAACTCTTTAAAATCGTCAAAATAATCCGAACCAGAGCCGTGTCAAGCAATTCAGCTTCCGCGCGCAAAATTTTTTCAGGCCCCTTCCCTACAATTTAATTACCTACTAACTGTTTTCTTATTATATAAATCTCCACATTACCACACACCACGAAAATAACTAAAATATAATGAACAATATTTAATATATATAATTATTAGGTAATTTATTTTGATTACAAATATTGATAGAAAATTAATCATTAACAATTAACATAATTTATACCTATATAAAAATACCAAACAATATTTTATATCGGTCCATTTTCAAACCTTCATAGCGTAATTTTATACTTAAAAAAAATTGAATTGAATAATAACATATAATTATTTAATGTAGAAATTAACGCCTGTAAGCTAATAACCAATGTAGTTGATGCTTAAACAATAAAAAAAAAAAAATATTTTATAATTTATTTCTTGCTTTGTCTTTGGAGAATCTCTGGACTAAAGTACTTCATTCAATACTCTTTACAACTTTAGACTCCATGATGCACAATAGTAATAAAGATGATGTTTTTCATTTGCTTATGATGAACGGAGATATGTTTTTACTCTTAACAAAACAGAAAATGAGCTTTCACCACTAGCATTACAAGGCATGTATGTAAATATTTTAAGGGAAATTTCTATCGATGGAAATGTAGAACTTCTATTATATTTTATTTGTGCTTTAGTAAAGTGTCAAAAGAATTTTTTTGACTTTGAGTTGTATTTAAATTAAAAATGTTTTTTATATTTTCATGAAATAAATCCTTTTTTCATTTTTAATGCATATTTTTAAGTCAATCCCTGGTTATTACAGAGACATTGACAGATTAAACATTGTCAATGTAATTAACACATACATTTTTTTAGTATTAGCTCTTGAATCCTACTATACTTATAGAATCCAATATTAGTGACGAGTTGCATGAACAACTATCATTAAACATTAAACCAATCAGTAGTGAACTAATGGTCCGATAAATATTATTTAGTGGCCCATGATTGATACATTACATTTTATTGAATCATTAAACTAATACATTTTTTATGCAACCTGGCATAAATATTATAAATATAGGTACAGTTATTTATCAAATTAAGACTAGCTAATAATAAGTATACTATACATTTTGGAAAAAAAATAGTGCAAAATTGTCCATAAACTTTTTTCAACTGTTCAAAAGATTCTACCTTCGTATCCACTACTGTGGCACATGTTATCTGGAAAACACTTATGATTATTCATTGAGGAGATAAAATATCAAAACGATAGGTGATAGCTAGGCATTCAACAACAATGAAATCCAACCAAGGGGATAAATTTAAACAATACAACCTATGCAAGCACTTACATTAATTTTAAATTATCAAATTTGAATTTAACAAATCCATTTATTTATTATTTAACAATGTTTGAAGTGAGGGGAGATAATCTATAGCTTTATAGCTTATTTATTTAATCAAATATAAAATGGTGTACATAATAAAATATATGCTTGGTGTAAATCAGTTCAACAAATAAAATGTATTATTGTCAAGTATTAATATTTCATAAAAAAAAATACTAAGGTATATAAACAATAAGAAAAAATCAAAGTATTCATTAATGTTTAAAAAATATGGAAATTTATTTTTTTAACTATTTAAAGAACTATTCTTACACTGTGTTATTACATTTATACCAAAAGCTTCATGACTAAAAATATTGAACTTATTGAAAAGAGTGATGTAATTCACAATTAATTTTTCTATTTCATTGATATCTGTTAAAATAATTATTTATACCTACTTAAAAATAGTTATAAGAAACTAAAGATACCAATTACATATTATTTATAATGGCTTTCAACAATATATTTGTTTACTAAATCTATAACTTATTAATTTAATCAAATATATGACATATCACATAGACATATTATGTATTTGTTTAAATCAGTACAATTTAATAAAATATTGGTTGATTTCAAATCAATAATAATAAAATATTGAAGGTTAAATTATAATATTGTCGATTACTTTATCAATTATTGTACTTATTTTGTTAATAATTAACTGAACTCTTACTGTTTCTGAATACATTGTTAAAACTTAATACAAATAAGAAAACAGTAACTATTAAATATTAATTGTTCAAATATTGATGAATACCTATAATTTAAAAAAAAATACTTGATTTACAAAAAAAATGAAAAACAATCAAAGTTTACATTTATGATATAGGACAATTAAAAATATTGATTAATTATTTTAAAATAATTATTTTATATTTAAAATATAAAAGTATAAGATATATGACTAAAATTATTGAACTCATTGAAAAGAATGATGTAATTGTGTAATTACCATGTAAATTATTTTATGCAAGCTACCTATTATTCATTTTTATTTTTAATAACAAATAAAAATGTATTATATACCTAAAACCTCGACAAATTAATATTTATATTTTAATAAATATTATCGACTATGCTTAAAACTAGTTACAAGAAACTAATGAAACCAATAATTAATAAATAATTTATGTAAAAGAGTAGATCATTTCTAACGGCTTATTTATTTTCCAAAACTCATCCTGTATTTTTTGAAGTGTATAATTGCCTTTGAGAGGAACAAACTTATCTTCAGTAGGTGCGATATAGATCAAAAAATTGAAAGCTTGTTCTGGAAGCTCCGAGCCAAATTCTATCATCAACCGCATAGCTAAGTACTTACTCAAATGATCAACTAGAAAAAAAATGATGTATATGTAATGGTTATTTTAAAAATTTGACTGGTGCTACTTTATTACCCTTAGAATTTTTGGTTACATTGTTCTAAATTTAATTCTATACATTTAAAATTCAAACCAACAACCAATTATGAAGTTATGGTTATTTTAAAAATTATACTATTAAAGTATTTAAGTGCTATTTATACTTTGCAAGGTTGGACATTAACGAGTTAATAAGTTAAAATTAAATTAAAAAGTTAAGTTACTTTTAACAAAGTTAATTAACGAGTTACATTTTTAGTACTAAACATAAAAAGAGATAATCTGTGAACGCTGCTGATAGTTTTACACTTTGGACTGTATAATAATATGTAGTACATCATAAATGATTATACTTAAAATTCTATATTAATATTCATCAAATTATAATAATTTAGTTATTCATAGCAGAAATACTTCTCAATAGTTGGGTTATACTTAAAAAAAAAACATCTAAATAATAACGAAATAATTGTTTATAGAAGTTCAAAGGGCACTTTATTCTGTACTATTGTATTATGATGAAGCAAAATTAATTTAAAAGGATTACCTGTTGCGTTTGCTGTTGTTTTCATATAACGTACAGAGTTTTCTTTCAGAACTCTGATAAATGGATTATCATGGGCCATTACTGCAGGATGAAGTCTTAACACTAGTTCTATTTCATCTAGTGGTACATCTTCAGATGCGCCTTTACATTCTGCTGTATCTAAGATGTCAACAGTTGAAGCTGGTCCTTCTTTTTCTGAGATCATAATAGATTTCATATTTTTTGCCACTTGTGTTTGTACCATTGTTCTTGTTACATTGTCTTGACTTGAACTATTTGAAATTTTTGAAGTAGTTGATGAGCTACTTTCATTTAGTTCTTTACGTTGGTTCTTTTTGGTTCGTTGTCGTCGATTTTGAGTTTGAAATTTCATACCTTCGTTTATTGACTGAATTAAATTGGTCTGATTGTGACTTTTATTTAACTTGTCTAATGTTCCAGTTTGATGTACTTCGCATTCATCACGTTTAGGATATAACTTTGATATGAGGAGATCAAAATTTTTATCAGAGCGTAAGGACCGTTTAGATACTAGTTTCTTACGACAAGTGGGACATTCTTTATTACCTGAACGAAGAGCTGTCACAATACAGTCAGAACAGAATCTAAAAAAAATATATATATTATTTTATTGATTAAAATACAACGATGTGTACTATAATTTATTACCTATGAAGACATTCTTTAGCAGTCATTGTTTTTTTCAAAACGTCCAAACATATTGGACACATAAATTCATTTTTTATACTTTGTGGCGATACTGCGATTTCGGTGTTGTCTGTAATGGGTTCTCGAGGAGATCTATGCAATTCGTATAGAGAAAGTTCCCACATGTCGGTAAGATTAGTTGGATTTGATGAAGCCATGGCTGGAACAATTTTTTTATTATCAGAATACAGAATCAAAGAATTAAATAAAATAATCTAAGTATGACTGTATTACAACTCGATTATAATATCCAATAAAAACACTCAAAAATAATAAATAATATTAATTTATTTGACTATTTAAATAAGTATTATTATAGCTTGAAGTAAAATATTATAATAACCAGATGATCCTTGTAAATTTCACTCTATATTGTAACCTAACTCCTCACTCCCTTTCACTCAGAACGCAGTCACTGAACTAAACACATGGTGAGAGCATGTCAGGACAAAAATCTAGTCCTACTAAAATGTCGCCATGTTCTTCCGTCATGGAAAAAAAATTATCTCGTTTCTCCCATGACATAAGAAGGGTAGTGTGGGTTCTCCAACGAGACCTGTATGTTAGATTGTATCTCATATTTTTGTTTTAAAATAATAAAATTAATTTAAGTACTGTGAATTGTTAATTATCATCTCAATTTTGAATACCTTTCAAAACAGTGACAACATAAATCGAATACAAAAAAAGTATATATCATGAACATAAAAAAACCGTCCGATTTTACCTAAATTTCTTAATGACACACACGATGCTAATAACAAGTTAAAAATTAAAATAAATATATTTTACTGTATAAAAATTATACTTTCAACATCATAATATTTTTAACCAAAAAAATTAAAAATATAAATGTGCAAAAAACAATTATATGTTCACACAGCTGCATACAGTTCACAAAAACTACTATATGAAATTAAATATTTATCTTTGCTTTCCTTTGCTTCCTAATAAAAATGTAGACAAGTATAAAATATGTTTAAAGTAATTTGTGAAAAGCGCAATGAATTAGACTTAATATCCTACGCCAAATTTATTGTAACCGATTGTAAACAAGCAATTCATAATGCTGCCTACAATATTTATAAAATTACAGGAAAGGCGAATTTTGGATGAAAATTGAGTCTCGTTCAGTAAAATGTTACATAGAGTGGTTGCTACTTGAACTAATTGACTCAAGGTTTGACAGAGGACTTCCTCTAAGGACTGGTTTATAATATTTTTTTTACTAATTTTTAATAACAGTATAAAAATAATATTGATGTAAATTACTTATACATTTTTATATATAATTTTTGAGTAATATTAAATATATTTTGTAAAAAAAAAAATTGAAGTTTTTGATACCGTCATAATAATATGCTCAAATAGAGTGTTAGAAAAAAACTTACATTTTAATAACTGGGGGTTAATTATTACTTCAGACAAAAAAGTCTTTTATAACCGTAAATAAATAGATCCGGTAAGAAAATTGTTTTATATTTATTTATTTATTATAAAACGGGCACAAGGCCCAAAAATGCAATATTATATTTTACATAGGTACATTTGAAAAATCTAATATATGGTAACAGAAAGTAATTACAAATATCGGTTAATATAACTTCAATAACACAACATTTTGACGACATTATTTGACATCAATAACAAAACACATAATGAATTCTGTATTACAAACTAAATAAGGTAGGGTGCTCATTGGCTAAATACATCATTCGATCAATTGGGTTGTTCTTACCATAGTTAGTATGATGGAAAGGAATTACAAAACCTAACCTAACCTAACCATAGAAGAACGAGGGGGAACTCTAAAGTTAACTTGGAGGAGTAAGGAGGGAGCATCAATATAACCATTAATTAGCTTACTCAAAAACATCAGATAAGCTGTCATACGTCTATCGACCAAGGAAATCAATCCAAACTTATTAAAGACAGGAAGGTAATCATGCTTAATGTGCTGTATTCCTAAAATATTGGCGGCAGATGATAAGAAACGCCTCTGGACTTGCTCTAGATGTGAGGAGTCAGTTGTTGTGTACGGATCCCAAAGAATGGAAGCATAGGTACTCTAGTATGGACCTTACCAGAGAACAATACAGCGTTTTAAGCGAGGTGGTAAGCTTAAAGTTCTTCGACGTTCGGATAACAAAGCCTAGAGTCTTGAACGCTTTACAGCAGATTGACTCTATATGAGTGTGAAAATTGGGGTCAGAACAGAAAATTACACCCAGATCTTTTACAGTAGTGACCATATCTATACTCGAGCCATTTATTGAGTATGCGTTTACTATAGATGAACGACTCCTAGTAAAATACATAGACTTACATTGGTCAATGTTAAATTGTAACACAATAAATTTGAACCACAACACAAGAGTATTCAACTCGTCTTGAAGGGATAAACAATCAGCAAATAAAACAATTCTTTTAACAATTTTTAAATTATCTGCAAACATAAGGAATCTACTATCAGGAATAGCAGATTTTATACCATTAACAAATAGAGAGAAAAGTATACCTAGGTGATAAATATTGTACCACGGACGTAAATACGTCAGTGCATATCATTGCCCCACGGTTGATGACCCATATTATGCAACGCACGATCGCAACAATTTATTAGAATCCGCGGAAAACGAAAAACCGGTTATTATATTATTGTTTTCATTGACATCAATGAATTGTTTGAGCCGTGGACCGCGGGAGGGTGTAAGTCTTAGGGCATACGTAAACTGCGCCCGAATTTTTATCTTAGTTGAAAAGGTATAGTGTAAAATGCGCCCGAAATGTTAAAAAGTTATAATGTAAACAGCGCCCAACTTATTAACTTATTAAATTTTCACTCATCAAAGTCTCTATGTTTGACGATTGTGTACTTTTTCAAGTATACCACAGACATTTTATTTTTGTCAAGAAATACCATCTCACGTTATCTAATATCTATATTGCAGTAATACGACAATTGATGGTCATCATTACTTCCGACATAGTTCTGCTAGTACCTATCATATTCACTTTAATCAGTAAAGTCACGATGGCCGAACAATTCATGTCGCAGCGCGAAAAATGTTTGAAAATTATTTCTAATTTTAAGTTTCGTAAAATTAATCGGCCTCTAAGTTCAGGTGAGATTAAATGGCGATGTAGGTCAAAACTTGTAGAGCATTTTTAAAAACGGTAGGTGATGACGACAGAATCACTGAACATAGTTTAAACCATAACCACGAATCATTAAGTGATCAAAACCTTCAAAAACAATTCGTGACTGGTATCGTAAAACGCAAGGCAACTGAAGGTATATGTACTAAACCTAGTAAAATATTTTGTAATGGTATTAAAAATATACCAACGGAACAGTTACAAGTAAGTGATGTACGTAATATTAAACTAATATATAATGCTAGAAGAAACATATTGCCTCCATTCCCTAAATCAATTGAAGAATATCAATTACTTCTTGATGAACGCGGTGTTCAAACAAATAGGGATGAATTATTTTTATTAATAAATTACAAGGAGTTGAAATATATGGTTTTCAGTTGCATTTCTAATTTAAAAGCTCTTGCACTATCAAAATGGTTGTACATGGATGGTACATTTTCATAAAAATTCAAAATTTAAAATTTCATTTTCCTAAATACTTCACACAAATGTTTACAATACATGGTTTTATCTACGGCTATTACATAGGTACCACTCGCCATATGTTTACTCTCCGATAAAAGTACAATATCATATTCTAATTGCTTAAAATCTATTTGTGAATATAGTTTATTAGTTTCCAAAATAATATTATTATATCACCATCCGATGTTGTAATAGTCAAATTCAAATTGACGAATATGTATCCACCATATGTAATTATTTGTAACATTTATAATTATTTTAATTTTTGAAATTTTATTTTATCTTTAGTTATTCAAATTATATGGATGTAACGAATTAAGTATTTTACCTGTAATTTTACCCGGGCGCAGTTTACATGTCACCTTTTAACTCTTGATAAAAACTCGGGCGCAGTTTACATGGGTGATTTTGTGTTTACCAGTATTTTGGGCGCAGTATACAATCGCCGACGTCTTACATTGTCTTACACTGTAAGATAACAACACTCACACTAATGTTCACTTAATACGCACACAACGACAACGCCTAACAGTGAAAAACCAGAAATTGCCTACCTACAACTCCTTGATTATGGCCGGTACCGGCGGTACCCAATCTCCTTATTTATAATTGTTATAATAATGTTTATTGTAATTGTAAAATAATAGGTCGTTGATTCCATTTATCTTAATCTAAAAACTTTCGTACTTGTTAATGATTAAAAATTCAAAACAAAAAATTGGAAAATAGTTTCATAATAAAATTGGCTTAAGTTTTTTTTGAATTTAATTTAAGTTGACAAATCTTATACGGATGATTTTAAGTGAAATATCCCAGAAAACAATGCTGTTTAATAATTTAGTGACTATTTAGTAGATGATAATTATATAAAAAATCTAACGAAACAACTCACCCCGCCTCATATTTGGGCTTCAAATATAATTTTTAGTCAAAGTCAAATGCATGCAGTGGGGTAGCCGGGGAGGGGGCTTAGTTTTTAATTATAATATACAAAAACTTATTTTTAACCAAACCAATAATTAAAATTATTGCCTGTCCTAAGACTGTAAGTGAAAAGGAAAATTAGTGTTTCAAAATGTTGGAACGGTTTTGAAATAAAAATCAAATAGTGAAACGAACTGTACTCGCTCGGAAAGATAGGATCTCAACCAGGATAGGAGAGGATCGCCAATTCCTAGCCAATCCAAAATATTAAATGTGTACAGTGATGAATCAAATTGAAAGCTTTAGAGAAGTCAGTATAAACTACATCAATTTGCTGCTTTAACAAAAATACATCTTGCACAGAAAACACAAAATCAATGGTACTAGTACAAGTCAAACAATTAGGAAAATAAATTCTTGTTGGTCAACTGAGATGGTCGACAAGATTGCTCACTGTGTACTGTTGAGTAGAATTGATTCAAACATTTTCCTAAAAATGGTAGACCAAATATGGGGGATAATAATTACAAACATCAGTTGGGTCCCTTGATTTTAAAATTGGTTAAACATGGATAGTTTTTATATCATAAGAAATTTTTTTTGACAACGGTTTCAATGAGACAATTGGTCATATTTAGGTAGTACAATATTCACATTATATTTTGAATTAGAGTTACTGATTATATATTTAATTATCACTCACTTCTAGAGTAGAACATTTTACACTTGAACACATTTTAACGATTTTTATTCAAAATATACACGTTAATTAAAGTAAAGGTTGAAAACTAGTTTTAACTTCTAACTGGTTCCTAAATTTTGAACCTCTTAAAATATTATTTTCACCCAATTTCCCTCCCCCTCCCCCAAAAAAAAAATCCATAACACTTGATTCCTAATCAAAACTGTTATAATCAACTAAAATGCTTAATGGCTTCAAATTTTAAATTTTAAACAGTCAGCTGTTCATAACTACTTGAAGTGTTTTAGATATTATGTTTATAATAGTAGCAGTAGGCCAATAATGATAAACTTCACTTTGTCTGAAAGCATTTATAATTAAAAAAAATATGTATACCTAAAATTATTTCTTAAATTCTACTGTAAAAAATATACATTTCTATTATTGGATGTTGGATGACATGTTATTAATGATTTCAATAACATCATATAGGTGTACAGTTTTTTTTAATCTACATAAAAATAAAATAAAAAATTATGTTAACATAATATAATAAATAAGAATAAGAATAATAAACTTTGTGTTTTTAATAGTTGGTTTTATTTTTTAAACTTATCAATGCATAAATAACTGTAATGTAATAATTATCAACAATTCTTGAAATTTTAGTTACATTTTAGACAGAAAAAAATCTACAAGGAACATACAATATAGTAAAACAATAAAATCAAAATATAATCTTCAAAGTCCATTTATCTTTAGATTCTAATATTATAATACAATCAGTGGTATTAAAATCATATTTTTTAGGGAAATTGCCACAAACCATTTAAAGCTAATTTTTTTAAGATGTATTGTATTTTTAGCTGATGAATAAATAATATGTAGTTTTTAATTTAGTGAGATAAATCACCATTATACAATGGGTATAATGCTGGTATTTCATAAATATAGTATTCAAATTATAGAATATGTTGTGTTATAACCAATACAATTTTACTTAAAATTCTACAAACCTAAAAATAGTAAAATTCTGTTTTACAGTGTTATTACTTAACATAAAATACTATAGTAACAAAAAATTGTTATTTATATATTCCAATGATTGTTCAACTTGAATTAGTACTCGCCATTCCGTATATTATCATCATGGATAGGTAAGTTTAAATCAGTTCCTATGAGTTAAATCTGATTCTATAATGTTTTCAAATATTTGTGTATTAAGGCATGCTTTCTGTATATCAATCTGTTGATTATAATATATAAATAAAATAAATAATTGAGAATTAATTTAATTTTTACATTCTATTTTCCGAGGTCTACCATCTTGTACGCTCTCCCTATTATATAGACAAGATTAACAATTTTCAATGCGACTACACATATAAATGTAGACAATAGAAAAATTATTGAAACAAGTTGCCCATCAAAAGACACACACCTAGTTAGAACCTTAATTATAACTACTCCAAGCGGAATTGGGATCAATCCAATTCTTCTTGCCACCAAATCCGAGTGATCAGTGAATGCCTATAAAACAAAATGGTTTTTAAAAAATATATTCCACAAATCTGCACAATATAAATGATCACAAATAATTACTTTTTTATCATGTGATTGTGCAGTGTCATAAGCAAAGCTCAATAAATAGTCATTGTACACTGACAAGTTGATTTCATTGAACCTAGTGATGAATGCATGTTTTATCCAATCAATAATAATCTCTAATATCATGACATACATGCAGTCAAACATTAACACCCAAAATGATTCTGAAACCATACAATAAAGTAAAATATTTTTTTAAAAAATAACAGAAAATAGATACATAATCAAAGAAACAATATAATATAAAATGATTTTACAGACAAACATAAAAGTTAAAAATAAAAACAATACATAATAATATTATTTGATTTGGATTACCATGCAAAAAACAATTTAAACTGTATGGAAAAATAATTGCACTTAACAGCACTTTTCTTTGAATTTTTCTTTTTAAATTTAAGTTAGTTCTGACCACAGTGAAATACTAACCACTAGTCCATTGGTATTCTTTCATTGTTTGCACTACAACTATAAGTAATAATATGAACAGATGGAATCGTTCACGAACATCACTGCACGATAATTGGAACAAAGTTGTTTTATTAAACTTCTTGAACACATTTCCATTAAATTCTATAAACTAGAATCAGTAAAAAACACTAATCTTAGTTATAATAATATTGCACTTACAATAAAATATGAAAAACACATTACATTATTGGACATCATGATTGGTAGTAATGCCCCATTTCTAGAATTAATTGCAATATTCAATGTGGTAGCTTGGAATAATACAAGTGTGCTGTGTAAAACTAATATTGTATGTTAAAGAGAATTTAAAATTGGTGTCTTAATATTATCGTATTAAAATACTTGAGGTATTTTTAGTATTTATTCAATATGTGACCTACGAAGACAAAACCATAATGACGATTGTCATATCTATAATGTACAGACTATATTTACTTGTTAATTCTTATAATTTTATTTTATGATTACTGGATTTTATCTAGACATAACCGTAATTCTATTTTATCCTAAAATGTAAACAATTCAATATTTTTATTAAAATTTGTTAATTCTCTGTAGTATAACTAGAACCCCAATGGCCATTTCTAAAGCTGGTTTTATTAAGTAATAGTTTAAAAAAAGTATATTTTTATACAAGCATTGACAATTATCAGTATGTGTTTAGTTGTTGGTTCATCAGGTGTGTAATATAACAAACAGCATTTTAGTAGCTGAATTAATTGAGATTATTCAATCCAAAAAAATTAGTTATAGCATTTTTTTATAAAAACATAAACATTACCAACAAAATAATTAAACTAATTCATGTCATAAATGTCACAGTTATACAAAAATAAATGTATGAAAAATAAAAACAATTGGCTATGGGGCTAAGACTTCTTGGTCATGTTAAGACTCTAACCATTTAAAATAAGAGTAGATCATATATTGAGCAATAACTATATTTTTTAAAAGCATACAGACATAAAACACAGCGATAATGAAATGTGTTAAAACGCCAAAATGTATACGCTGACTATTTTTAGGTTCAGTAGCAGTCCAAAACAATGCGTCTAATATGTCTTGACCAAATAATGAAAATAATCTGTCTCCAACCTTAAATTATAAAATATTATATTTATAAATAGAATGTAGTAAACTAAATATTTGTTAGTTACCTCTAACATATTGAAAAATACATATAACTTAATAATCGACTGGCTTTTAATTACATGATATATCATTGATGTATCCCAAGGTAATAACATCATCAAGCATGTTATTAGTAAAGCCATTTTAAGCAAGTCACAAATTTCTGCAGCCGATAACTGTTCTTTTATATGATTATTCCTAAAATAAATTTACAATAAATTTTAAATGATTACAACAGTTTATAAAATACTCACTTCCATTTTGATAAATAACTACAAATTATTAATTTTAATGCAAATACTGCCCTTAATGGTAGGAATGTGTAGACAAATAGGAATGAATCCAAGCACTAAAATTAAAACACATTACAGTAAAATCTACAGAGTACTTAGTAAGGTAAGTTATATAATTAGTTGTTATACACTATGTTTAACTATAGTAAAATCGAATTGAGGGTTATACACCTGACAAATGCCATACAACATGAATCGTTCGATTTCTAAGGGTATTTTCATAAAAGTATAAACTTTTTCTCTCTTGTCTAAAAATTCTTCTTCGTCATATTCTAGGGAACAGCCACTTTTAAATTCTAAACTGATCAAATCCCATAAAGAGCCTAAAATCAATAAAAAAAACAAAAAATGATTAGTCATTTACATAAACAATAAGGTACCTAAAAATAATATTTTATCATCTAAAAGTAAAAAAATTAACTTCAAGGTAAAAATAAAAAATGTTATGAAAATTGTGTCATTACATTTTAATTAATTCAAATTGACATAATTTATTGAATAAAATACACATTCATAATGTCAAAAAGAGTAAAGACTTCTTACCTTAGGTTTTTCTCTTTGAGTTTAATATAACCTATCATTATTAAATACTGTTGGATTATAAAACATATTCAATTATCTACTGTAATGATATTCACATAATTACACCACAACAATTCATAACTTCATATCATAATGATAACATTAAACATGTATCTCTTAAACCTTATAAAATAACTTAACTTCTATTCATTAAAAATACTTAACCACAACATATTAGTTAATATATTGCTTCATCTAAAATAATGGAAATCCCTAGCTGTTGATTTTGATTCAATATACTACAAAGTAAAGGCAGTAAACAATAGATAATAATAAACTATAATTTTTAGTTCTGGGATCTGGGAAATATTTTTAACCAAATAAAGATTTTTTTTTACATTCATTTTGGGTTTTTATACAATGTTTTATGAAATCAAGTAAAAAATTATGCCTGACTTAGGTGATTTGTGACTTAGGTGATTTGTGACAGTTTATTTGACTGATAATTATTTATGAAACATTTACATCACAAAAAGCAGGAATGACAATAATTTAATTTAATTCAAAATATTGTTATTCTATTGAGAAATAACTTACTTTATAACATATTTATATTCAAAATAACAACAAAATATATGACAATATGACATAAGAAGAGTTATCAAGTTTTAAGAACTAATTATTTAATTTAAAATTATTATCAGTTTTGTGAAATAAATCTTATTAGATACTTTAATTGTGTGGGTCATTTAATTATTTTTAAATTTATTTCATACACATATATAGAGACAAGTTTGGACATTGACTAAAATAAATTTGCTTGGTATCATGAAAAATTAAAATTCTATGCTGTATAATTTTACACGGGGTGATGATAAAAACAAGTTGGATCCAACATTTGCCAAATTAACAAGCATATGATAATCAGAGCTTGTAAGTTCAAGCATTTGTAAGTTTTTCTTACGAACATTTCTTACCAATAATACGAACATTACAAACGAGTGTATAACCTAACCAAGTTATATCTGTTCGAGTCGTTGTGAGGAGACACGTACCTAAGCTGCTCGACTTCCTAGCAGCAATCTCGACTTTCTCCATCTGGTAAAGCGTAATAAAATCTCGCAGTCCCTCCAGTATTGACCTTGACGCAATCGTGTCGAACAACCTCGAAGCAACAAATGATGAAAACAAGTGACAACAGTACAACACTTAACACATTAGTGTTACGCATAAGGAACAAGAAGTATGCTCAATGGTCAGACTACGAATATTTTTTGAATGACAATAATGAATACTCATGTGACGTCACCCGTACACATTAAATTGTATGCAACGCAGTATGCACAAAAACACAAAGCGATGCGCATGCACGAACTAGGAAGAAATCACGGTTTGTGTTGAGCTTGAGCATACTTATTATTTCTTGAACTATGGTATTACTGACCAAGTAAAATCCAAGGGGTATCAATACAACTTGCTACAAACTTGGGGATACCAAATTTTAAAATATAAATACGAGATAAAAAACTATAAACCATTTATTCAAAAGGTGAGAGGGGAGGGTACAATGTTGGCCGATACGCGTTTGTCAATCAAATTCATATGACAATTAATATTAATGACTGATAATTGAGAAGAAACAAATAGTTCGACAGTTGGTGTACTCGGTTAAGTGACGTTGACCGTGTCAACCATTTGGCCGGGTGAAGGTCGAGATGAGAATTCGTTTGGCTTTAATTCGGTGACAACATCAGCCCATGGCTACGGACTGGTTGTATAACGATAAACCATAAATAGTGATAACTAATACTGATTTTTTGGTTAACAACACATGACACAGCATTTAGCATTACCGAAATGTCAATTATTGTCATTTGTCATTGTCATTACACTCATTACAGTGTCTTGACGGAATTTTGGGTTATATTATTATGTTTTTTTACTATTGATATACCTGAATATTGCGTTATAATTATTACAATTTTGAATCATAGGGTTTTCAAACTCGAGAGTGTATGATATGTGGTTTGTTTATTTTGTTAAAAATAATATTTATAGTTTTTGTCACATTATATAATTTATCGTTGTACATAATAATGTTATATATATATCAATGTAGTCTATATATTATATTAATAGGACAAGTTTTGTGTCAGCTGTTAGGGCGTCCTTCTGGTGGGTCCATAAACATGTTAGGATTTAGTCGGTTGGTATTTAGCCGATAGCACCAGCTGTAGTGTACAAATACTGAAATACAAACAAATACATCAATATTTAATAAAGCTACACAGCCTGATATGGGATTATTTGGACCTACTGATCTGTGCCTGCATTTGGTCAGATGCTAATTGCTCAACCATTGGCGCAACTAGGAGGATGCAATAGGGTCTTTACTCTTTAATACAATTAATTTTTTTTCGCTCTAACCATTAGATATTACTAAGGCTTTGATTTATATGCAAATACTTATTTTCAATATAACAGGATAAACTAATTTCACTAAGTGACAAATTCGATCTCAAGATTTTTGCTAAAATTAGCTATATTTGATTTAATATATTTTTACATATTTTGTCATAAATAAATAAAGTGTTTTTACTTATTTCACAATTATTCAATTTTTTTATCACATCTTTAGTCAATGTCACTGTTTTAACGTGTTTCCTTCAGAATTCAAAGTGATAAATATACCCTAACATATACTTTATAAGACAATACGGGACAGTCAATGATAACAAACGTCGACAAAGCCCCCAAAAATCGCAGTGGATGCCCCGGCTATTGTGTAAATAAGTTCCCTACATAAATTCTTATTCCTATTCAAATATCCCGCCTTTATTCGAATTACTGTTTTTTTTTTTATATTATATAATAAATAACCTAAATAATTAATTCAATATATTTTATACAAAAAATCTGAGCTATAAATAAATTGAACATGGTTTTTTTTTTAATTATGTCGGGGAGGACGATTTAATATAAATCTTTCGATATTTTGTTATTAATATCTCCTATGATTATTTTTCCCCAAATATTTTGTATTTGAAGTGTTTTGTTTTTTATACCAACCATTAAAAAATGACTTCACACAAGAGTTGTTCTTTTTGGACTTGTAAAAACAACAGCAGGAAAAATCCGTAATTAACATTTCATAAATTTCCTGCAAATGATAAATTGTAAGTTACATTGTTAGGTAGTTAAGTTTTGAATAAATTAAAATATAATTGTGACTTATCCTCAATAAGATTACAAATTTCGGGAAGACGTAGAGTGAGTACTTTATGTATTTAGTTTATGGTAATTGAATTAACGTTCATTGAAAGTAACTTATAAATAATAATAGTAATTTTACCATACTAAATCCTTTTTACTTTTTTCCTCAATACATTTAAACATTTAAGAACTAATAGTATTTGTCCTGGTTTTGCATCTATCATAATCTTAAAGGTCTTAGTCTTATTAGAAAAAAATTAACTAATTATATTAAGAAAGTAACATTTATAACACAACAATTGTGTAAGGTTAGGTGTATACAGTAGTGGTGTTGAGTATGTATCTATATTAGCTAGTGTATTGTAAACATTAAAAACGATGGCAGTAGAGGGGCAGTATTTTTCACACAAATCCTCCTCTGTTATCGGTTTAAACAAAAATAAAAGGTGTATACAGTAGGTGTCAAGTGCACCTCGTCACAGAGTAAGTCACTGTAATGGACATGTTAATTATGAATTCAATGATAAATAATAACATATTTATAGTCACAAATAATTTTCCAAATTACGGATTTGAAAATTATTAATACCCTATTGTCAAACAATTAAGTATTGAGACATTTGAAATGATATTACTATAATTTGTATAGGGATTTTCATGTGATAATATCAAATGCTCTATTAAAATAGTATAAATTAATAATTTCAGTGTTAAATAATGGGTTGATCAGAGTTGAAATCAAAGGATCAAAAGCAACTATATTAATTATGGCTTTCAAAAAATAAAATGTTGTACAATTTTCAGACTATTTCACAGAAAATGATTATTTTATTTGGACAGACAAAAAAAAGTAAGATAAAACAAAATGTAAACATTGTTAAAATGTACGTAGTGTACAGATTCTTTATTAGCTATTTAAAAATTAAAATATTTAACAACAAAAATAATTACAAACATAATATATAATATTTATTCAAAATATTTACTTAGGATTTTGTATAAATGGTCTGTTCCTGGAACAATTTCATTACCTCAGCCAAGAAACATTTTGACATCATTGAAAGAACAGAAAACATCTGAAACAAGAAAGCTAGAGTTTGATACAAGTATAATACATTCAATAATTTACAGTTTTAATAGGAATAATCGAACATGAAATTTTATTATTATTATTAAATAGGTACCAATGCAAAAGTTGAAGTATAACCTCAGGAACTTCTTGCATCTAATTAAGTGTATAATGATACAAACATTTCAATCCTAGCAGTGGGTAAAGTGCCAGGATGGAGCGAAAATTGCAAGCAGTAAATCTAGTAATAATATATATAATATATTTGTTATAAATTAATATTATCATTGAAAAATAGTTTTTATATTGTTATATATAGAAAGCAATATGTGTAGAATCCCAGTGAATAAACCTAGATCTTTAAACTTTGGAAATCATAAACTGATTTTGATTGTTTTCTTTCTTGTAAGTATTAAGTGCTCCTACAACAGTGCCAAGTAATATACAACAATTTTGTTTTAAAAACACAAATAAGACTGATGAATAAAAATAGCCTTCAATAAAATGTAAAGAGGAAGAAAAAAGTTTTGCTCTTAGCCTTTATTATAAGTCCCCTAAAGGATATTTATTCATGAGAAGATATCTATGCTTACCAACAATAAGGTCATTGAGATGATGGCTTCCTTTTTTAAATTTTACTCGTGGTCTCAATGATAATATTTTTGAAATAATGAAGAATAAATTTACATATTGGACTCTATCGGAGAAAGCGGTTTCAACCATTTTCTATGAAATGTCAATAAAAAGATTTATGACATATAATTCACAAAGTGACATATTTTCTGGATTTGAAGACTTTGGGGCTATAATAGAAACAAGAAATAATTTTTTGTGTAATCAAGCACTTGTTATAAAGGTTAAAGGAATCCATGGAAACAAGTGGTTGGGTATTGTTTTTCAAAAGGTCTAATCTCTGGTTTGAAATTGAAAATTATTATTATGAGCACAATAAAAAAACTTATGTCTACAGGCTTAATACATAAAATAATAATTTGTGATCACGATATAAACAATCAAAAACTCAGAAACCTATTGAAAATAACAGTTAATAAACCATTCTTGACATTTGAAAATGAATAAATATATATTTTTTGTATGACACACCTCACTTAATTAAAGCTGTAGGGAACAATTAAAAAAAATACGATTTTATTTACAAAAATGAAGTAGACTCGTGGTCAGATATAATAACATTTTATAACATTGACAAAAATATAACTCCATGGTCAGCACTAAAGATTAAAGAAGAGCATGTCATACAATTACCACTTTTTTCACCGATGAGAATGTGTTTAGCTATTCAAACTTTTAGTCATACTGTAAGTTCAGCTATGTTTACACTAGTTACAAATAATTGAATGAACTTAAAAGCTTTATATTCTGCAAAATTGTTAAAGATAATTGATGACTTGTTTGATGTGTTTAGCAGTTATTCATTCGATGAACCAAAAATATTTCGAAAACCATTGACTAATAATTTGAAGCATTGGCTTTTTCTAAATAAGTCTTATGAAATTCTAACAAAATTAGAAATTCAAAATTTCAAAAAGAAACAGCCACTGTGTATTAGTGGCTAGCTTTCAAATATTAATAGTTTAAAAATGTTGTTTAAGGATTTACAAAATAATTTTGAATTTAAATATTTGCTCACCAGACAGCTGACCAAAGATTGTGTAGAAAGTTTATTTTCTGTACGAGCAAAAGGTGGAAATAATGTTACTCCAGATTCATCTAAATTATATTCAGCCTTACGAATGTGCGTAGCACAACAACTTCTCGTGCCAGCTACATCTAGAAATTGTGAAATAGAAGCTTGTGAATATTTAACTAAATGCAATGACTTACTGCAGAATAAACAAAAGTTTAGTATGAAATTAAAACATTTTGAAAATGTACATTCATTAGCTAACGAAATGGACTCCAAGTTTGATGACAATTTGATTGCCATGAACATCGCATTCATACAGTTGGACTTGCACGAAGAAAATTCTATTGCATATGTAGCTGATGAGCATGTAGTAAGTCATCTTGACAAATTAGCTACAAAAGATTAAAATAATATTACTATTGCTGCAGAAAATACTTATTTTTATGAAACAATATGATGAATATAATTTACTCTATCCATTTACAAGTACAATTATTTATGTAGGGAAAATGATATGTCTTTTTAATACAAATATTAATAATTTATTAAAAGAGAGTAAGGTTTGAGTTAAAATCAAAATGATTGAACTAATGAATCTTTATATAGCTATAAAACCAAATGTTTGTTTAAATTGTATTTTTTATTAGTAAATAAGATATTAAATGTAAGTATTAATTATTTCATAAAAAAATGTAATAACATGTATTTTTTTTAAATGGTTAAAAACAAAAAATATTAATGAACTTGTTAATTAGGTAACTACCAAATAACTAGCCGTTTTATTATTTATTTTGCACTATGTAATATATATGTTGCATCCAAATAGTGAAATCACTCATTTCATGAACTGGATATCCAGATAATGAAATTCGTCCAAATCGTGAATTTTGACGAAAATACATTATATGGACATCCATTTCATGAAATAGACAATACTTATATTGTGTACTTTGTGTAATTACTATAAAACCAGATATCATAGTATTAAAACTATACTTTTCTATATTGTTCTATGAACAAAAATATAACAATAATTATAGTCATAATAAACTATATCATATTACATTATATTTTTATATTATTTTTTATAATTTATAAACAACAATGTTACCAATGAAGTATTATGAAATACATATTCGTGAAATTAATTATACTTATATTACTGAACTACCTATATTCCTTATATTTTTTTAGTAACAAAATAACTAATTGATTTAATTAAACAATAATTAATCAACTATACCTACATACATTTTTCTTCTTTATTATTTATTTTAATATTTATTTTTACACGATAATTGATTATGGCATCGGCTGTTACATATCATATTGTTTTTAAAACAAGCACACCTACTTGATTGGCAATTATTTTTCGCCTTACACCAACAAGATAAAAATACATCATATTTAAACAGTAGATAATATTGTTGTCGATCTTTTTTACCAGTGTTAGAATAAATAATACTAAAAAAGATTAGGTACAATTTGTATCAATTATCGAGTAGTTTTTTAAAGTTGTTTAAATGTGTTAAAATTTATATTTGATTTAATTAAGTTAATTTTTATTTAAATCCAAAATTGCTTACGTTTTGATTTTAGACATTTCTATTACAGCAATTATCTGTAATTGATCACATTTAGTGAACGGTTTTTTTTTAGATTTCAATTTTTAATATTCATCTAGCTTTTCATAAAATACGTTCCTTTCTTCCATTTGTATTTAAAATATATCTATATAAAATAATAAATACACGTATAAACTGCAAGTACAATACCTATAGTACCTGTGTTAGATACAAACACTCACTAAATGTTATTTGTTGAACAACTTAGGAGTTACATAGGTATTATTTGTCAACCGTCATCCAATAAGGAAACATTCATTTGATATCGGATGTGGAATCACCGAAATTAAATTTTATATCATTCTCATAATAATATAATAGATATACCTAGATCACGGATTCCCCCTGTGGGTGGGGGTTAGAATTCACCCATGGTAGTCCATGCCCGTCGTAAGAGGCGACCAAAATGGACATATGGAAGGCAACGGGAAACCACCATATTAATATCCCAAGTAACAGCAATCAACATGACGGATAAAACATTTCTTTATCTTTATTGATATTGAAAAGTATGGTATATTGGTATGTAAGCTATTTATTGCTAAATAACATAACAATCTCGTTTTATAATAATTATACAAAGTACACAATATAAGTATTGCCCATTTCATGAAATGGATGTCCATATAATAAAATTTCGTCAAAATTCACGATCTGGATGGATTTCACTATCTGGATATCCAGTTCATGAAATGAATGATTTCATTATGTGGATGCGACATATAGACTATAATATCTACTTACCTGTACTAAAAAAATTGTAATATTAATTGAAATACCAACCTATTACCCATAACATAAATAATAAATATATATTTTGTCATGCCTACTGCCTAGTACCTATAATATAACAATTAATGTATAAGTGGTAAGCGCCTGACAGAATATGTAAAGGCAACCACTACTATTATGTGGGGCATACTTATGTCGTGTTCCTTATCATGGACAGACATACATTGTCATGCTCTGTCGGCCACGGTCAAAGATACTACAGCCTTGTCTACATCGATAACAGTGCTATTGGCCAATCAGCGGCCTCGTTACTGTAGCCAGCTTGTAGTTCTGCAATCAGTCCGAATCAGTGTCGTCGCGACTCGATCATCTCATTACCACAAACAATTGTGCGTATTCGCTTTCGCTCTTACCTCTGTTCTCTGTAACAGTTAATTAGTTAAATACATTACTATTGTGTTGAGGTCCATCTCCGCTCTCTTAAGTCACCCGTTTAGTCCATCACTCAGCGTCAATTCCTGGTTTCGTATTTTGATTAGTCCAGACACTGCTCTCTCGTAATAAGTAGTAAGTACCATCGTCCATCGGACTCATGAATACAAAAATCCACTCTAGCTTTCGCCACAACACGACGACGTTTAGATACACTAGGCTTTTGGCATGACGTTCTGTTTTCGTCAGAACGCTGGTTCGTCTCCTTACCCCCTCCCACCTTGAGTGTTGGTGTTTTGTTTGTTTGAATGCAGATTGTTTTGATTTTGAATTAGTTTCAGTCATGGCTCGTACTAAGCAAACTGCTCGTAAATCTACCGGAGGAAAGGCTCCCCGTAAACAGTTGGCCACCAAAGCCGCCCGCAAAAGCGCACCCTCCACAGGTGGAGTGAAAAAACCTCATCGCTATCGTCCCGGTACTGTTGCTCTTCGTGAGATTCGCCGTTACCAAAAGTCCACAGAGTTGCTAATTCGCAAGTTGCCGTTTCAACGTTTGGTCAGAGAAATTGCCCAGGATTTTAAAACTGACTTGCGTTTCCAAAGTGCGGCTATTGGAGCTTTGCAGGTACCTACTACCAATTAATTATTAATTAAACTATTATTATATTCTATTATTATATCTGTGCTGGTAATTTATTTCATTGGATTTTATTTTGAGTTAAATTAAATGATTACATGTAGTTTTCAATCAGTATTTTCGATTTACGGTTTCACATTAATAATTGAAATTAATGAAATTTTACTAACTAAATATACCATACATTTTCTAATATCTTAATTGTGTTTATTTCAGGAGGCCAGTGAAGCATACTTGGTTGGTTTGTTTGAAGACACCAACTTATGCGCTATCCACGCCAAACGTGTCACAATTATGCCGAAAGACATTCAGCTGGCCAGACGTATCCGTGGCGAAAGAGCCTAATTCATCCACTATCCTTTAAAGTGTAATTTTTTTTGTTAAACAATTTTTCTGGCAGTTATCTTATCGTTATACATATATTACTATATTTCAAAAAAAAAAATAATAATAATAACTAGCTATTTCTATAAATGTATGTCTGTATAATATTAAATTGTAGGAAACCTTAATTTATTTTATACAATATAATTAATTGTAAGCAAGTGTTCATTTAAGGAAATAATTTTTTTGAACAACAATATCAGCATTTAATATTAATTAACTTTGTATTACATACCACAAACGTCATATTTCTTCAATTTTTTTTTATACCTACTATAAATAAGCAAACATATTAAAAAAACTATACCTATATCATATATAAATCATTAACTGTACAATTTAAACAATATTAATTTATGGTATGCTTTTTTATGTTATAATTATTATTATAAATTGTAATAAATCTTTCTGTTGCTAAAAAATCTAGTTTTAAAAATATAATTTTTCTATTTGTGGTTCTGGCTATAGTTAGGTATTGTATTTAAAATAGCTACGTAAACTTAATAAAATAACATAATATTAATTTCTTTAAATAAGTTTCATGAATTAATAGGTGTAATCTGAAGTATATTATATTCTTTGAAAAATTATATTTTTCTTTAAATCGTTCATGTTATATCGCTATATTTTATTCTACTGATCTAGGCAGAGTATATACAATTATTTATTATAGATCTGAGTTCACCATACTTTTCCAACAAGTTAGTTACCTATAAAATTAAAATTGTAAATAAATAATATTCGTCATTTCTCCATCGGAAAATTGTATTTTTCTTCTGCGAATTACTACTTTGTAAAAACTTTTTTTTGTATTCAAAGCATAAAAGTATATAATACAATGGAAATATTGATCAATATTCCTCTAAAGATTGACTGGTTGGCGACTCTTGCTAAAGATGCATGTATCTATAAACCATATTATTACATTGATATTTGTAGTGTTTTGTATTATCTTGATCAAACATCAGTTACAATATTCACAATTTAAGAATTTAATAATCAAATTAAAGATAAAATATTTTTAGCATATGTAGCAACTGTAAAACATTTAAATAAACTACATTTGACTATCTTATAAAATATAATAAAACATTTAAAATTAATTAAAATTCAAACAATTAAATTAAGTTATTATAATTGTTAGCTGTACTTAAGTTAAGGACTAGGATTTATATGCATTGTAATATTTTTTTTGTGCAATTTCTTACTGCTTTTGTTGGTTATGTCTGCGAATCATGCCATGTGATGCAAATGGTGGATATTTTGAATAAAATTCATATTGTTGCATATTTAAACTATTAATACATACAATTCTAGCCTTAGGGTATATTTTAGGAGTGGTGATCAGTAGAAAATAGAATATTATCTATCCAAAAAAATTAAATTACATCTTATATAAGTGGAAGAGGCTCCTCTTCCTGCAGCTGGCCAGAAGTGTCCAGAAGGTAGATCAGGTGGAACCTAGATGCGGATTTCGACACAGCTTACCATCTCCCTTGTTATTTTATACACAACACCTGTTAATAGTATACGTAGTTACCTAGCTATCAGACGTCAATATAAAACGGTATAGGTAAATGTATCATTTACTAATGGCCTTTAGTAGTCGAAGGAGCAGAAATTTAAAATTTCAAGACCAAAAAAAAAAATCTGTAATTCTGTGCTAAAGATCTGTGTTTTGTAATATCTATGTATTTATGTAGGTAAAATATTTAGGTATCTACTGAGTAAATTTAATTATAGTTTCTTTCATTGGTTACAGATATTTGATTATTCTATTATCAATAGTTTCTATGACATTACGTAAGTTATATTTTAATAACCTTTTGCTTGTATACTATAAATTATAACGACTTAACGTTGTTTTTACATACCTAATATATTAGTACAATTAAAAAAGAAAAAAATCAACATTTTTATTCAAAAAATATAGGTAATATTTTATATATAAGTACTTCACTTTTGCAAGTAAGATCAATTTCAAATTTAATTGATGAATATATTATAGAATTACTTGGTAAATCTACCATTAATAGGTGCTATGTAAGGGTAACAGTTCCGTGTCCGCATTATCTTAATTCTGAGTTTTATATTATGCTTCTCTATTTGTTTTGTAACTATGATAATTATATTGTGAATTGTGATCAATAGGTACCTAAAGGCTTGTATATCATACATATATTATTAATTTACTGGTTGTTGAAGGTATTTAAAATGAGTGCTGACGAAAAAGTATTATTAATTCGATCTAAAGTCAATTTGGTGCAATTTGAAAACCCAATATTGATATCCAACAATAACCAGACTAAACAAGTAAATACTATTTTTTATCAGTTAGATTTAGGTAATATAACCTGAAAATACCTATTTGTAACAATATTCTATAATTGCCAGTATCAGACCTCCAACTTAAGGAATTATTATTCAAAAATATTATAATTCTGTTACATTTTTGCTATTCAAATACAGAGTTAACAACATTACTCTTATTTCCAATATTGGAAATAACTGCATTTCTTCCTTCGTTTACAAATTTAAAATACTGAATAAAATAAAATGAAAAATGTAATAATTGTAATATAATAATTTTTGTAAATAATGAAAAATTATAATAATGAAGAAAATTGAATGTACCCATACATTAAACCTGTATAATGTACTTATATTTCTTTCAGGTCAAATTTGCCAGTAGAATGCATTTTTGCCAACAATTTAGGTCTAATAATCGAGTACCTACTCTTTTGTTAAAAAAAGAATTTAACTTAATATTGTACATATGTCTTTATAAAATACTTAAATTAGTATTTAGTAGGTATACACTTCACTGTACAATTATTACCCACCATAAATTAATTGTGTACACACCACTTTTTAAAAATATTGTACACGCATAGTTTAATTAGGTATAGGTTGTAGAAAAGATATATTTTCCGTTTGTTTTTTCTGTCGACCAGATACCAACTTAATATGGTCAGTATACATTAAAACAATTAAAAAATTTTTATTAGGATGCCAATTCTGTTAAAAACAATGCTCGCCTAATGGAATCTGGTGACGATGCGGACGACTGTGAACGACAGAGTTGTGATGATGTTTTGAACAGCATATTACCACCAAGAGAATGGGAAAAGGACGGTAAAACATTTCGTCAATGTATATCCAATAAACCAGCTACCGAAATCAATGTAAAAAAACTCAATGAAAAGTTTGATTCGCTCTTGAAACAGTATAATGCCAAGGAAGTAGGAATTTGTCCTATCAAGCAGGAATTATACAGTCAATGTTTCAGTAAGTTTGGAATATTTGTGATATGACCCATATATCAAGACCTTGGATGAGCCAGGAGGTGGAATTGGTGGAATGGAATAAAATGCATAAGTTAAATTTGAATAGCTTTATTTATAGCCTTGTAGAGGACGGGGGAGGGGCACAACAAATTGATGCCTAATATTTTATTTAACTACCTAGTATCTACAACCTATTTATACCTATACGGTAGTATTGAGCGTATTAGACGTATTCAAAAATGATTTATCTACATTAGGTATACAATTTAAATTAAGAAAAATGTATGGATGTAATGGTTCTAAATAGGCTTTTGAACTTGGCCCTCACTTCTTTTAATCCAACATTTCATAGGCTGCATTGCTGCAAATGCTCTAGTTCTGAGTTACATTGTGTAAAAGCACAGCATTCCCTAGTATATAGAATCTATAGTAATTTATATTATAGATGATAGATAGGTTGGTAGCAAAAGCCTGAAGAAAACATCATAATATAAATATATAATATATGAAAAACATCATAATAAACTCACAGATAATCGATTGAGAGGTGAAATACTAATAACTAATAAGTCAGTAACGTTCTTAATACAGAATAGTAAAGTACAACGCAGGACATATTTTATTTGGTTTAATGTACTTAATTTATAAAAACAATTTTAATTTTAAAAAACTTCAGAAAATATTGTTTAGTAGATCAATGTTAACATTTTAGCTTTTATTAGAAAGAGAAATCGTGCCTAAATGAATAGGTACCAATGTTCAATAATCAATAGTAATAAACTAATATAATAGTAAATGTATAATACAATATTGTTGTCAATTTTCATAATTCAAATTAAAATTATAATACTACCTATACTTGACACATTATTATACGATACAATGTTTTGTTTTAATTTTGAATATACAAATATTTGAGTTACACTAAAATTTAAAAATTACCAAGGCGAATTAAAAATATTTAGTTAGTGCGTGTTATACAACAAACTAATTACTCTATATTAAGTACTAGAAGACTGGGATACGCGTTGGTATACGTATTATAAACACACATCGTTGGTATTAGCCAATAAAATTTCGTTTTAAATTATACATACTTTTAATTATTAGTTATAACTCTGGTTGGCTATGTATATGTATATTCTTAAAATACATTAGAAATACATTTAAAATATAATGTTAACTGAATACGGTGTCAATATTGTTGATATATAAATAGCTTTTACACGATTAATGTGTAAATGTATTAATATATTAATTAATTATTGTATGTGTTTCTTTTACAATTTTTAGACACACTGCTAAGGAATGTTTTTAAAGTTTCATTATAACATGTTTTGGCTTAAAATAATTTTAAAATATATTTTAGATTACAAAAATATTACACTTCTTAAGTCAAGTACCTATATGATATTCAAATTGTGTGAATCTCTATTTCATATAACTAAATGTTCAATCCATCCATGCTTATATAGACGAGGTCATTAGACAAGTAACGTTAAACTGTACGGAACGGGGCTTCATGTTAATCCAGATTCGAGATGAAATTCAGATGACCATCGATGCCTATAAAGAACTGTACGAAAGCGTATTGGCAAACGGGATTCGAAAGTTATTACGGGTGAGTGTTATAATATTACATTTTGGGTGCATATTACTAAGTAAAATATCATCATAATAGACAACTCCAAGGACACAAATTGTATCCATTATTATGATTAATTATCCACCTCCTTCAAATATATTGAGAAACCCTATTAATCAAGCAATATTATAATTTATTA